CCGGGGAAACCAGATGCGTGATGTCGCGAAGCAAGGTGAATTTTATAGACTCGGATTTTACAGCACACGTGCTGTCGCCCGCTTGGCCCTCCACGTTTAAACATAAAACGCGCTGAGAAAATTCACTTGCAGCTCAACAGTGACGACGCCACGAGTGACATTTTTCCTTACATTAATATAGGCATAGCCGGTGAACCCAGGGCGTGATTGCTGCGAGCGCAATAGTGAATATATATAGATCGGATTTTACCAAGCCCACGTGCTGCTCTCCGCCCTCCCGCTCACCTTAAACGTATAAACGGCCCAAAGAAAATTCTTTTTGGCCAGTCAACGTAACACCGACCGACGTCGACCGGCTTTAGATAAACATTGATCCTGCAGTACTCACTAGCACTCTGCTCCATGCGAGCAGCTAGTTGACTCGATGACGCTTGACGCGCCGCTTTCTAGCGCATCTTAAATTCTTTATTCCAATAGAATCAGGCGATAACGGCGATATGACCAAGCGCCTCTGTCCGTCTCTCTATATATGCTCGCAGCGAGTATGTATAGCGGACAATATAAGCTTCGTTTCGCCCTTAGCATCCAAGCAATCCTTTGTGGCCAATCTCATGTATTTTAGTGATTCATATAAGCAGTAATAGGTGCAAGCGTGTGCCATAAAAAAAACGCAAAGGAACATGTACACGCCTCTTTCCGTATATAGTTCTTCGCTCAACACTGCCGTTTATTTTCGCTAATAATCGAAACATGCTTATGTAACTTCAACTTGGCTACAGTCGCCTGTGTTACATGCCACTGATGCTGCATCCTTGCACGGATTTCATCTTTATTATTGTCGCTACATACAGTTCGCTTAATATTATGAATATAAAAGAAGTATCATTCATACATAGTTGGCCGAATACCCCAGCTGTTCGTTCGGGGGATCGTGTTGCTCGCGAAAATACATTGTTAAATTTTAAACGTTATAAAAAAAAACCGGCATTAGTCTATATCGGATGCGCAGCCAACTCTCTAGTTATGCCGTTATTCGACGTTACGACTTTAAGTTCATGTTATTTATGGGCCACTCGAGCAGGCGTTGTGTGTGTGTGTGTGTGGTCGTGTGTGGCCTGTTGTTGCTGTGTGTGTGTGCGTGCTGTGGCGTGCGTGCGTGCGGTGTCGTGCGTGCGTGCGTGCCAGTGCTGTGCTTGTGTGTGAGCAGTAACGGCGTGTGTTTTTGCCTCATGCTTGCGTGGGCGTGTGTGAATCCTGTTTTATCAAATAAATCTACAGGCGTGCGCGTATATACCCCTATAAATATATACTGTACAAATCAACAACAAGCGTTGTATTCATAAATGCCGATGCGAGAGAGCGTAATTTATTTGCCTACATAGCGTTGTCTTCAGAACAATATATTGTCAAGTCATCATAGTAAAATCGCCGGCATTGAACACGATCATAGATTGCGCTGTGTGTCGCCATGCCATCATACGTCCAACCACTAGTTTCTTCGTGGTTGCTTATCGCGGACTGCTAAGTTAATTAAGAATGGGCAGACGGCTAAAACCATGCAGCGCCATTCTGCTCGCCAGACAACTGCTCGCTAGTGTGAAATAACGAATGTAGGCACACTCTTGCCCCGCCCACACATATTACATTTCCATTTTCATCCCGCAAATACGATCTCGTTATCTTGGCAAGAAAACGATGTGCAAGAAGCCCCCATACTATTTATGCGCCCAACGTATAAAATAACACGATACATTACACAACGGCCCCTTTATTTTGTAGCGAAATTAGTAATAATCTAGACAGCTACTGGTAAATTCATTACACAATTTACAGGTAGAGTTTCAGCTATTTAGCTTTTTGGGATTCGAAAAATAATTAACTGAACTACTTCCCTTCGACAGGAAAGCGCGTTATAGCGCGCCTGCCCTTAAATAAGCGCGTGCCCCTACATGTGCCTATAAAATAATTTACAAAGCCCTAAAAATCAATGTTTGTCTAAAACATATTATGAAAAGAAACCGCTTTAAGCTCTATCAGGCGTTGTATGAAAGTTTTTCGCCAATATCTATTCTACATGGATTGTCATTGCTTCTGAACTAGGCAACGCGGTACCATTGCAGCCGTTCATCAATGGACACGTATGGCTGGCCTCTCTCGCTCTGCTGCGCGTTAAGATACAGATACTAAATTACACGCAATCAATGCAAATACGCCTAAGACAAATATACAGTTCAAACAATCCATTGATAAGGTCGTGGCTCGAGGCTATAACGTCTTTCCGACAGCCGGACTCATTAGACGCCGTGTCTACACGTGTGTTCAACATACTCATTGCACCCGTGTAACGTGACTATACATCACGTCACCGTGCTCATCTATCACGTCACACGTGTAACCTGCTTTTCAATATATCACGTCACACGTGTAAACCTGCTCATCTATCACGCTTCACACGTGCTTAACGTGTCATCTATCACGTCACATCGTGTAACGTGTCATAGTTATCAAGTCACACGTAACGGTGTCATCTTACCCACGCACCCGCTGTAACGTGTCAATCTATCACGGTCACACGTGCTACGTGCTCATTCTACCACGGTCACCCGGTCTAACGCTGTCATCTATCACGTCACCGGTGTAACGTGTCATCTATCCGATCACCCGGTGTAACGTGTCATCTATCACGTCGACCCGCTGCTAACGTGTCATATATCATGTCACTATATGCGATATACTAACCAATTTCTTGTTCATATTGCGTTGTTATAATCTTTGTAGGATTCCTGTAGGATTTGTAGGATTCTATTGTAGGTTCCTGTTTACTGTTATGTTATTTTTAAAATGTACTTTTACGTACAACTTTTATGATTATATATAATTGTTATGTTATATCCTAATCATTTCCTCGTTAATCACTGATATAACCAATTAGAAGCTTAATTGTATCTCAATTTTTCTTCTAAGCATTACCTGCATGTTACATTAGCAAATAGATGTTATATTTCATTACTATCATCCTAATTGTGTAATAATTTCAATGCAGAGTATGGCTGACCGTACACTGATCTCTATATACTAACTATCAGTAGTAGTTAGTAAATATTAGTCAGTATACAGTATTAGTATTTAGTATATACATGTAGTTATATGCTATAGATAGTATAATAGAGATCAATGGGACTGTCATATTGTGTACTGCAATGCTATTAAATATACTTGTGATCAATTCTTACGATTGTTATTAATATTGTTGTCATGTTATAATGCTTATCATTTGCTCGTTTGCCAACGATTCGCTTTCATATAGACTAGCTGTCATTGCAAATTATTTTATCCCTACATGCACGTTTACCTGCTGTGTTGTATTTGTTTATAAATAACCAGAAGTCAGAACATAGGGAACCGTTTATTTCCTGCTTTCTCCTGTGACTGGTTCATCATCCAGTCTCAATTATCCGACTCAGTTTTATTCGACAGCCAATCGATATAAAGTGATATATACAGTACGTATACATGTACCGTACAGAGTTGTACTGCGCACACATACATACACATTTTACAAATATCATGCCGTTTGACAATGCGTCACATACCGCCATTGACATAGCAATCGCTTTTAAACAATATAGCTAACAATAGTTCCATACCGTATTATTCTGCAGAATAATTAATAATCAATCAGATTTCACACGTTTACTGCAACTTGTTTTACTCTTATACCGCCTCTTCCACATTATCTGACATTTTTCGATTATTAAACCACTTATAGGTAATATTTACGTAGGAAAATAGAGACTTAACTATATATGTGCACGCGCGCGCATGTGTGTAGGTAAGCATGCTTGCGTGCGTGCGTCTTGTATGATGTAGTATTGGTAAGTATGCGTTCAATCTTCATTGTCGTCCTCCAGTGTCTGCGTTCTACATCCAACAGCGGTACTGATACCTCTCCATACGGTGGCTGCAGAATCCTACCCATCACAAAAAACGTCTGCTGTAAATAAGCTCATATTTTTGGTGATGAACAATAACTAACAATAGATCTGTAACATCTTTCAGCCTCTCTATATCTATCAGTCTGCCTCGCCACCTTTCCATCTTTTTGTCTGTTTCTCACGCTCTCTATCTATCAGTCTGCCTCTCCACCTCATACCATTTCTTGCACGCTGCTTCAACGGTATCCTAATTCTTTCTGATTATCCAAACCTTACTGCATATGCTTACATTTATGAGTTGGTGCGTGTGTCCGGGAAACTGCACGCATCTGCGTGTGCACGTCTGTCTGCCCACAGTCCGTCTGTTCTGCATCCACCAGTGATAATGAGATGTCTCTCTAAAGTGACTGTACGATCATCACACCTGAAAAAAACATCTGCAGTTAACTAACTCATATTTTAGTTTAGGAATACAATGATTAAATTCTGTGTTTCATAATCATACTGCTACTATTTTTAATCTCGCTCTCTCGTTCTGTTTCTCTCTCGCTACCTTTCTCTATCTATCAGTCTTATCTCTCTCCCTTTCTGACTTTCTACGGTTTCTTCACTCTGCTCCCACGGTATCCTAATTATTTCCGATTATCTAAACCTTACTGCATATACGCTTACATGCATGCGTTGGTGCGTGTGTCAGGAAAACTGCGCGCATCTGCGTGTGCACGGCTGTCTGCCCACAGTCTGTCTGTTCTGCATCCACAAGTGAAAATGAGATGTTTCTTAAGGTGACTGTGAGAACACCACACCTGGAGAAAAACAGCAAAATCTACAGTTAACTAACTAATATTTTGGTTTACGAATACAATGATTAAATTCTGTGTTTCATACTCCTACTACTACTATTTTTAATCTCGCTCTCTCGCTCTTTCTATCTTACAATCTTTCTCTATCTATCAGTCTTATCTCTCTCCCTCTCTATCTTTCTAATGTTTCTTCACTCTGCTTCCACGGAATCATAATTCTTTTCAATTATGCAAACCTTACTGCATATACGTTGGTACGTGTGTCAGGAAAACTGCACGCATCTGCGTGTGCACGTCTGTCTGCCCAAAGTCCGTCTGTTCTGCATCCACCAGTGATAATGAGATGTCTGTTTAACAAGGTCTGCTTAATAAGGTGACTGTGAGAACACCACACCTGAAAAAAACATCTACAGTTAACTAACTCATATTTTAGTTTAGGAATACAATGATTAAAGTCTGTGTTTCTTACTCATACTACTACTATTTTAAATCTCGCTCTCTCGTTCTCTTTCTCTCTCGCTACCTTTCTCTATCTATCAGTCTTATCTCTCTCCCTCTATATATCTCTCTTTGGGGTCGGAAACTCGACTGAAATAACCACGAATAACGAGTGGGCGATGTGACCAATTATTTTTTACAAACAAGCACAGATGCCTGTAATATAGGATACCGCGCACACGCCCATAGTTTTGTCGGAAACTCGACTGAAATAACCATGAATATCGAGTGGGCTATGTGACCAGGTGAATTATTTTTTACAAACAAGCACAGCTAGACGCCTGTAATATATAGGTTAGCACGCACACGCCCATAGTTTCGTCGGAAACTCAAGTCAAATAATCAAGAAATATCGTGGGCTATGTGACCAGGTAGATTATTTTCTAAAAACAAAGCACATATATATGCTTCATATATATAGGTTGGCGCGCACACGCCCATAGTTTTGTCAGAAAAGCGACTGAAATAACCATATCGAGTAGGCTATGTGACCAGGTGAATTATTTCTTACAAACAAGCACAGATGCTTGTATATGTTACCGCGCACACGCCCATAGTTTAGCCGGAAACTCAAGTCAAATAATCTTATACCTCGAGCCACGACTTTATAAATGGATTGTTTGAATGTATATTTGTATTAGGCGTATTTTGCATTGTATTGCGTGTATTTAGATCTGTATCTTAACCGCAGCAGACGAGAGAGCCACATACGTGTCCATTGATGACGGCTGCACAATGTACCGCGTTGCCTAGTTCAGAACAATGACAATCCATGTAGAAAGATATTGGCGAAAATTTCATCAACGCCTGATAGAGCTAAACGGTTTTCTTTTTATAATATGTTTTAGACAAACATTGATTTTTTGCTTTGTAAATATTTATAGGCACATTAAGGGCACGCGCTTATTTAAGGGCACGCGCTATAACGCGCCTCCTGTCGAAGGGAAGTAGTTCAGTTAATTATTTTTGAATCCCAAAGCTGAATAGCTGAACTCTACCTGTAAATTTGTAATGAATTTACCGTAGCTGTCTAGATTATTATAATTTCCTTATCAATAACGTTGTATGTATCGTGTTATTTTATACGTGCATAAATATAGGGGGCTTCTTGCACATGTTCTTTTGCAAGATAACGAGATCGTATTTGCGGGATGAAATGGAAATGTAATATGTGTGCGGGCAAAGTGTGCCTACATTCGTTATTTCACACTACGAGCAGTTGTATGCGAGCGAATGGCGCTGCATGGTTTGCGTCTCCCATTCTTAATTAACTTACAGTCGATAAAAACCACGAAAGAAACTAGTGGTTGACTATGATGGCATGGCGACAACAGCGCAATCTATGATCGTGTTTCAATGCCGCGATTTTACTATGATGACTTGACAAGTATATTTTCTGTGAGACAACCTATGTAGCAATAGTTGACGCTCTCCTCGCATTTATGAAACAACGCTTGTTGTTGATTTGTACAGTATATATTTATGGGGTATATACCCACGCCCTGTAGATTTATTTGATAAAAGGATTCACACACGCACGCAAGCATGAGAGCACAAAACACACGCGTTACTCTCACACACAAGCACGCACGCACGCACGCACGCACGCACGCACGCAC